GGTGTTCTGGCGCACTATGGCTGCCGTCGCATCATCCAGGTGGATGCTGCACACTGGTGGTGGACGAGGAGATTCCCCCTCACAATATAAAGCACTTTGAGTGCCTAGAAAAGTGCTATATAAATATAATAAATTAGTATTATTATTATTAATAGATGTGTAGCGACCGCCTCCTCCAGAGGGGGAGCTTGCCATATCCCTTTTCTTCAGCGCCGTCAAAGGTGATGAGGGTGGCAAAATTAGAATAGTGGAAGTTCATCGTGAACTTCTGGGGAAAAAACTGCGCCAGTCCCTGGTGTTCTGTTCGATAGGGAACACCTACATTTTACTACATTAAAGTATGTTTTGGTAATTAAATAAAATTATTTTCAGATCAATACATATTAAGTTTCTTCATCTACTACTCTTCCTTATTGAAGGATTAAGTATATAAAAATGCAGAATAAATAAACATGGTATATTGATCAGTGCTTTTAATACTTAAGTACTTTTAAAAAAAGTAAAATTGAAAAGGATTACTTTCACTTGAATAATACTTTATTATTGTATCTGTACTTCATCCAGCACTGATAAGAAGAGGCTGACATGTTCTGACTTTGTCCCTTCAGTCTTAGAGGGTCAATCTCATTAGCATCTATTGAGCTCTCTGTGTGTCATGGAAAAGCGCTTAGAGCTGAAGTGGACGCTCCCAGCAGGAAAAAGCAAAGAGAATGCCAGCGACAGTGAACATTTAAGTGACAGGAAGACATTGCGAGTCTCACCCAGTACAGCACGTCAGTCCAGCCCTCCATGGTGATACACTGGAAGACAGTCAGCATGGCAAACAGGAAGTTGTCAAAGTTTGTGATGCCATTGTTGGGCCCATGCCAACCATCCCTACACATAGTGCCATTGAGAGGGCAGTGTCTCCCATGACCAGTAAGAGAACAGGGAGCTGGGTCCTCCTCTGCTAATGCACCTGTGTGGAGAATGAGAAATATGTGGCTCATTCTCAGGAAATGGTGCCATTTATGTACTGTGTGTATGAGCACCCTGGTTAGAATATCTTTAAGACCCATTATTTGATGCATTTTGATGTGCGTGTGTATGTGTGTGTGTGTGTGTGTGTGCACGTGCGCGCGCGTGTGTGTGTGTGTATCTGTGTGTGTGTAATGCAAAATACATTTTCAAAACAGAACAAGTATTGTTTATAAATTAGTCTAATGAATGTGAGAACACACTGACGCGTGCCGTTCAGATAGCAGGTTGCATGCATCTTCCCGATGAACAGCTCCAGCCCGATGATGGCATAGATGATGATTACGAAGAGTACAAGCAGAGCAATGTGCAGCAGAGGAACCATGGCTTTAATGATGGAGTTCAGCACTACCTGTAAGCCTACACACACACACACAAATATTATCAGCATGTTATCAGGGTGTTCTGGCTGTGAATGCTGGGTAAAGATGGTAACGCACTTGGCACTCCTGACACCAGGCGGAGGGGCCGCAGAACTCTAAACGCTCGTAAAGCCTTGACATCGAACCCGCCCGGCTTGCCACCTGACTGCCCGCTGACATCTCGATCTTTGGTTACCAGCTCCAGCACGACACTAAAGAGACTAAACACACACACATACACATACACTCATCAGTATTAACGATAATAACAGAATGTGAGTTCAGGCTATTATTATCAGATTATTATGTTATATAGAACATTATAAGTTAAATGTAACAGCAGAAGACGAGAAAATAGTGAAATTGTGAGTAATGTACAATTTACAAATTACATAAAATGAATGAAGGTCAGTGTCATAATGATTAAATCAATTAACATCCACCATACTATATTCTTCTATCTCTTTCCTTTGTGCAAACTAGGGCTGTGCAAAAAATCGAATGCTATTTTCATGCGCATTTTTTCAGTAAAGCCGCTCCTGTGATTAGCAGTAAATCTCCAGCATGTGCTTTCAGCGATGAATCGGCATTTTTTGGCAATCACCTGCGATTTTGAACGCGATTTTGCGTAGCTTGTCAGTGAACAACGGCTCTGTGTAGTAAATGCCGCTCCATCTGAAAGCACGTGCTGGAGATTTACTACTAATAATGACTGGTAATAAAAACTTGACTGGTGTTTCTCTGGGGGAAAAACAATTGCATACAAAATATGTATGTTAATTACAATAATAAGCTCATACCACTTACTTGATAGTACCTCAATTTGAAATGAGAGAAATACAAATCAGACTTCTGTTTCAGTTTTTGAGAAGCTATAGTTAAGTGTTCTTAATTGTGTACAGATAAATATAGAGAAGCAGACAGATTGTTATCTTATTTAAGCCAGATAAAAAGTAATGCTTAGGAAAGTTATCATGACTTTTTATCATAGTGAATAAAGTGTGAATAAAGCACTGAAAAGCTAGTGATGACAAAGGCGCTGAAGGTGGTACAGCATTACAAATACTATTTACAGAAATAACAAATGAATATAGGGCGCAATGTCAAGTCAGGTGGGTTTTATCTTTTGCATATTTCATGGACCTGTATCAAATAACACTCATCTGGCTAGGGGATGTCACAGATGAGATTCGGTGTGATCCCTGAGGATCCTACAGCAGCACAATCTCCATCCAGCATGACCTCTGACTTCATGCACTGGATGTGGAGTTAATCTCATTACATCGGGTCAGAGATCAGCACTAGATCAGGTTGTAAGCTCTTGTGAACAGTTGCCAGCTATGTGCCAGACAAAATCCTTTCAACAATTTCCAGCTGACATGAACTACTTCCAACAGAGTTGTTCAATCATGACATCCATTTGTAGCCCAACACAGAAGACCAATTCGTTGTCATTAAAACACCATTTAACACATGCTATTTGATGGTAAACACACAAAGTAACACTTACTTTGTTGTAATTCTTACATCAGACAAGTAAGAATCTGAATACACAACTGATAAACATAAACTGAAAAACACATTAATAACAGTTTAGTAATAAAACAATATTTTTACATATTTTACAAACAATGTTTCTTACATTTTGCCCAAGAGCATAGTTCTTTGGAACAGTGGTTTTGGGAAACGTAACTATTTTTGGGTTTTTTTGTAATGATGAAACTTGTGACCATAGTTGGCTAAAGGCTGAAATAAAAACTTTTGGCCAGATTTTTGCCCCGATTTTCAGTCTGGACAAGTTGACGCTTGCTGTCGAAAATCAGAGCCAGTCAAATGTAAATTCATGTCCCAGTCACATTTTCTTGGTTAAATAAACATTACTATCAGAAAGAAAATCTATTTTATATTTTTACATTACCAACATAATCAATATTCTATTTATTAACGCCAAATATGAATCTCATCAAGTTAGTGTTTTTAAGCATTTTACATTTATTCCAAAATAATAACTCAAGGTAGATTTTGATGTAACAAAGTGGTTAAATCTAAGTTTTTAAATTAGTCTTCCCATTAACGCCATTATATTGTACATTCAGACTGATTTGTGAAAGCAAACAAACACAAGAGGTGGGATTTATCAAATGAAAAAATCACAACCTAACATAACCATTCATATCCAATCATATCGTGATGGAGGCATTGTCTTCTCCCATTCATTCTCAATTACCCCCCAGCAAACTCACCGCACACTTTAGAGGGTCTGTTAAAACTCAGTGGGCTGAGGGGAGGCGAGAGAGATGCAGACTCCCGCTGTAACTTTACCTGGTTACGGG